AGTCCTGGTCTCGGAATCGGCTCAAGGCTCTGTCGGCAGCGAGAAGGGCCGGCCGAGGTGCCCGGGCCTCACGCCGCGCCCAGCAGGAGCAGCGTGGCCCTTGCGGTCACGGTCAAGGCCAGTGGACAGCACGCTTGCCTGGCATCAGCCTTGGTTAGGCTGCAATGATCTAAACCTGGTGCAACAACGGGTCATGTCACGCCGACCAGACCTCAAAGGAATGCCCAGGGCTCACGGGGGACAAGGGGGTGAGGGGCATGATTCTTGACCCAACTGGGCACCAGCCATCCAGGGCGCCTCATGGAACTTGTTCTGTAAAGTGTGGGAACCCATCTCGGCGTCCCCTCTGGGTGTTAGATTCGGCTTCTCCGAGAATCAGAAAACCTAATGAAGCAGCAGCAGAAGCCGGTTTGGGAAAGAGCGGTGGGTGGAGGGCGGGGTGGGGGGTGCAGTGGGCTCACACAGGAGATGGCGACAAACCTCTCTCACTAGCAGCCCCAGGGGTTGCAGCCATCAGCCGGCAGACAGCCAGCGGCGCTGACAGCGGCACAGACAGCCATGCACACGGCACACGGCACAAGCCCCACTCGCAGGCCAAGGGTGAGAGAGCAGGTGGGAATTACTAGAAGCTCAGGGTGAGTCGGGGAGGCCTGGTCCACCGGGGAAGCCACTTAACCGTGACCTCAAGAGAGAAAAGCTACAAAAAAGTGATACTTTTATTTCATGGACGACCTGGAGCACCCACCCAGCGGACACACATAAAATGCTCAGAACTCACACCATTTAGAAAATGGCCTTCGTCCCAAACTTATGAGTCACCGTGAGTCCATCCTCCCCGGCAATTACAGCGACTCCCGGGACACCAAGGGTCAAAGGGAGAGACGGCCCTGTGAGGCTCTTTCTTTAAAAAGTAAAAGCTGCCCTGGCCAGTTTGGCTCAGTGGATAGAGCGTTGGCCCATGGACTCTAGGGTTCCGGGTTCAATTCCTGTCAAGGGCACATACCCAAGTTGGGGGCTCGATCCCCAGTGGGGGCCGTGCAGGAGGCAGCTGATCAATGATTCTCTCTCACCATTAATATTTCTATCTCTCTCTCCCCCTCTCCCTTCCTCTCTGAAATCAATAAAAATATTCTTAAAAGAAAAAGTAAAAGCTCCGTGAGACGAGCCAAGCACAGAAGGACAAATGCCGGGACCTCACTGTCCAAGTGACAGGGCAGCACGGACGGGCCTGCCCACGGTGGGGAGCGAAGTTGTGATGGGTAAAGGGTACAAAGTTTCAGCTCCGTAAAATAAATAAGTTCCAGAAACTTACTGTGCAACCAGGGCCTAAGACTAAAGGAGAAAGGGGGGACTGGAGGATACGTTGGGGGGATGTTAAACTTGTGTACCCGACAGCAGTGATGGCCGCCCGGGCGTCCACTTCTCTCCAAACACAGCGGCTGCCCAGGCCCCACGGCCTCGCCTTTCGCCTGTCGATCACGCCTGGGTAACGCGGCCAGAAAAACCCTCACCAGCTCTGGGCACAGGGGCGTCCCCTTACCATCCAGACTTTGGTGGCGCGGCTCATCTTGCCGTGCTCGGCGAACATCCAGCCGTGGTAGGACAGCAGCACCTTGAGGGAGTACCGCATGGTGAAGATCAGGGCCACCCACAGGCCCGTGCCGAACAGCACGCCGCTGACCACGTGCTTCGTCTGGCTGGACATGCTGCCCGTCGTGTCCAGGGTCCAGACCACGTGCTTCGTCTGGCTGGACATGCTGCCCCTGCCGGGACAAGACGCGACAAGCCGGGGCCACGTGAGCCGGCAAAGGAGGCTGAGACGCGACCCCGGACACGAGGAGCCGTGCAGCCACGCACACGTCTTCGTGGCTTTGCTTTCAGCTCCCGCGGTTTGGGGGAACTGCAGAACGTTTACAAAATAAAAGCTCGGTGTTTTTATCACTAAAATGTCTAAAACAAACCAACGTGGGACCGGAAGGAGTCTCCAATATTTGGAAACCATCAACCGGACACTCCGTAATGCTTCCGTGGCACCAAACCCCCCAAACGCCTTTGCTACAAAACCTGAGTCTTTCTGAGCCCGCCAAGCCTTGAGTTCAGGCTGAACGGCCGCCTCCATGGAAAACCTGTGCGTGCTTTTCCGACAGCCGGTCCCCAGGCAAACCTGGATGCGGGGACGTGAGAACCCGCCTCTGAGACAGCCTGCGCTTTCGATGGCTACGCGCTACATCACCGAGGGAAGCAGACACACACACTTCCTCGAGGCACAAAATCCACACAGCGTTTCACCTTAGCAAAGAAACGGCAGGCCGGGGACTGCGGCCACATAAACCGAAGGCACCGCCACAAAAGGCATGAGCAGACAAGCTCCTGTAAGAGACGTGCTCCACGCGAACACCGCGCCTGCCCCACGAAGACAGTTCCCACGGCCCCCAGCCTGCGCTGTCTAAACGTGGCCCGGGGGCGGCCCAGCTACCACCATGGGTGGAGAGGGACAAAGAAACAAGTCTCGTAAAGATCCAGACTGAAGGGCTCTAAACAGCCAACACTTCCAAGTATAACCCAGCATTAAGAGCCAGCCATGGGGGAGAGCAAATTAAGCATCGGTGGCAAACCCACGCCAGTGAGAGGAGCAGGTAAGACTGGCACGACGGCCTGCGGGTGGGAACTGAAGGATGAAAGGAGAGAGGCTGGGACCGGGGTGGTGAGGTTCCTGCCCGCAGGCAGCCCGGGCACCTGGCAGGCGTCCAGGGCAGGCGAGCTTCCACTGACAGGGCAGGGAGCTCCCGTCAGGGCCTGGCAGATGCCGATAAAGGCAGGGCCAGCGTTCCCCAGGCACGTGAGGCTGCGGGCCACTCAGCTGGAGTTGAGTCCAAGGGCTTCTGAAGGAACAGAATTTAAATCCAAACAACCAGCAAGGTGCTGGCTTATGCTCAGGCCAGACCCCAACAGCAGCCCGGGAGCCAGGCGGGCCCACGCACCCGCGAGCTGCTTCTCGTCCCTAAAGGACCCAATTCCACAGCAAGTCCTGGCCGGAAAAACAAAGCCCGCTCGTGGCCCGAGGACGTGGGGCCTGTTATTTCCTAGTGACGGACCGGAACTGCTCGGGGGCAGTGGGAGCCTTAGCCGGAGACACACAGGAGAAGAGCCGGCCCGAGAACTCGGAGGATCACTCACGTCGTGTCCAGGGTCCGGTTGATCTTCGCAATGATCCCCAGCGAGGGGTCGATCTTGGCGTACATGGTGGACATCACGCCCACCACGACGATGAGCCAACTGGAGGGACTCGCCGGGTACACGCCGGTGATGATGCCATTCTGAAAAGACAGGCGCCGCGAGAACGTCAGGCAGCGGGGGGCGGGGGGTATCTGCAGCAGGCGGCCACGCTGTCGCCACGGACCATCTCCCCCAGAGCCTCCAGCCGCAGCTGCAGGAGCCTCCAGCCATCCCTTCCTCGACTTCTGAGCCAAAGTGAGCCCAGAGGGACCTCAGGACATTAGAATCACCCGAGTTTAGCATCCAGATTCCCGAGCTCCACCCAGACTGATGAATGACACCCGTGGATTAAGGATGTCGCTGAGCCAACCGTGAAGGCCCCTTCCCAACCTGCTACACCCTAGATGCTTGGGGACGCCCTCTCCAAATCCACTCCTCCCTCCTCCACCCCTCACTCCCCTCCCCCTGCCCCAAATCGAGATGCCATGGCATCCTGAAGTGTTTGCAGGAGACCTCACTCCATGTAGAGAAGGTGCTGTAAGATACTTCAGACAAACCCTCCCTTACCCCCCCACTCAAAAAACCCCAAAGAGTAGCAGGAAGGGGGGGTGAAGGAAAATGAATCAAAACTGGCAAAATCTTAGCAGTGGACACTGGGAGGTGAGCAGTGTGGCTCCTTCTCTTGACTTCTGTCTATGTTTCCAAATTCCAAGTAAAAAAATCCTCACTGAGGCCACAAATAAGAGATTGATTTGACCACGACGATGGATTAAAAACTTTCAACACTTTATCTGCATTTTTTAGAAGATGCTCGCATCCCTACGAGCTATTTCCGTTGGCTTTCCCATCCTCGGGAGGCAAGAGATATTTTTAAAGGGGTGGAGGGTGGGATGAAGCCCATTGAACGTGGAGGGAAGGGGGTTCTAGGTAAAGTGTCTCCCGCTCACCCCGCCCTCCGCCTGCAGCTGCTGAAAGCCCTGCCCACCCTGCCCTCCTCCGCTGGGAGATGACGCGCTCCTCTAATAAACCCTTTGGCTACGGGCGGCCAGGCACTGTTTAGGTCATTTGTTTTTGTATCTATTGTTCTCGCTTTCTCAGCTGCACGACAAGGTCTTTAAAATCAGGAACAGTATTTCCACTGGGTTGAAATGACGACCACCCCTCTGCCCCCCACTTTATATTTTTTATTTGTAAGTAATGAGGAGCTCTCGGCGTCCTCCTCCACTTCCGGTGCCCACCGGGGGACAGGATGTGATCCGTCTGGTCCCTGGGCCCCAGAACCCACAAGCTAAGCCCAGGCGGACCTGTCCAGCCAGGTCCGCCTCCTATGTCACTGCTCTCACCTACTCTAGCTCCCGGCCTTTTGCCACTCTCTGAAAAGGAAAATGAGGATAAAGACACCAACTGGCCCTAGCCGGTTTGGCTCAGTGGTTGGAGTATCAGCCCACGGACTAAAGGGGCCCAGGTTCAATTCCGGTCAAGGGCACATACTGGTTGCAGGGTCAATCCCCGGCCCTGGTCAGGGGTACATGTGGGAGGCAACCAATCTATGTGTCTCTCTCACATCGATGTTTCTCTCTCTGTCTCTCCCCGTCCCTTCCACTCTCTCTCTCTAAAAAAAATCAGTGGGAAAATATCCTCAGGTGAGGACTAACAACAAACAGAAAACACCAACTGCAATCTACCCTGAGGGGGAGGGGGATGGGGGACATTCACTTTTCACTTGATGCCCTTTCATTTGCTTGAATTTTTTAAACATGGCGTTATTTATTCCTTCTGTGATTTTTACTTTGTTTTCCTCTTATTTTTCCTCCATCATTTACCCTCCTCCACCTCCACCCCCACTTCTGTGATTTTTAAAATAAACTAAATTAAAAACAAGACATGTGCTTAAAATAGGGATTAACTGTCCTCTTTCGAGGAAACAGAACTGAGAACGTGCGAAGGCAGCTGCCCTTGGATGTACGTGCATATCTGTCAATGTTTGACTATTTTATCAACGAGACACCTGTTCCACAGACTCCCTGCAGCTTCGCCGGAAACACCACGATTCCAGAGGGTGAGCAGGAGGCACGGGCACTCGCCCTCACTCTGCTCCCACCAAGTGGGCCACTCACCCTCTCTGAGCCCCAACCTCCTCACCTGCCCGACAGGGGGCCCCACCTGCCTCCAGCATTGAAGAATTCAGCGCGTCACTATATGTCAACGTGTCTCATGAGCCTTAGGTGCCACGAAGATACGAATTACGTGCCAATTACCACTCAGAAATGTGGACACTGCAAAAGCACCCCGAGAACGGTTCTGTGTTCCAGGGGAGGCGGCCCAGATTTAAACAAGTGTCTGCAAACCTTGAATCTAATGAACTTCTTCTTCCAGGAATGAAGTCCGGACAGATAGATCTGCTTCAGGGCCTCATGACTCAGCCGCAGGTCGATGCCGTCGGGGGTGACCGTGAACTGGAAGGCCACAGCCTGGTGAGCCTCTGCCATCTTTAGGGTCTCCTGGGAAGAGACGGAGAGGATTATATAGAAGTGTAACTTGTCCTTACCCTTGGAAACCCTTACCCTCCGACCCTTGGCCCTGGCCCTCCCACCAGCTCCCCCTCCTGGCCAGCAGCCCGGGCCCCACCCAGTTGACACAGGAAGGTGGTGGCTGTGCAGCAGAGCAAATCCAATCCCTGCCCTCCAGCCACCTGGAGGCCACACATGAGTCACTGAAGCCCTGAACCCTTATCTTCAGGTAGGGCGGGACCGACACCTTGGCCTCAGGTGTGCCAGTGCTTGGTGCCTTGAGAAACGACTTTAGGCACCATGAGAGCCAGACCCGGAAGTCTAGGACGGAGCTGGCCTTCCTCCTCGGAGGCTGGGACCGAAATCAAGCCCCA